CCCCAAAACCCCAAAACCCCAAAACCCCTCAGCGATTATATTTCCATTTAATTATGAAATCAAAATTAGAATTAATTAGATTGAAAGAGGTTTATGGGGAAGCATTTGTAGTCGTATTTGTGATCTGGCACCTTATCAAATATTTTTTTATTTGTTAATTTTTCCCATATCTTCTTTGCCAGTTCTTAATTATCCTGGATAATCTTGTCATGAGTATGACCTTCAAATAAGAAACTTAGCTTTATGTAATCTTCAATACTAATTTCTTTCTCCTCATTTTTAGAGTTTCCGTCAGCTTCTTATTATTTACTAAAATCATTGCTATTTGTAGTTTAATCTAAATTTATTTAGCCTTCAACTGCTTCTTTACTTTATTTAATCTGATGATGTTCAGTAAGCAAGTATTTAGCTATGTTAAACATGTTGCAGTATTCATTGTCTAAGAAAGCCAAAACTCTGTATGATTCCTAAGGCTTTTTAAACTACTTGACATGCTCAAGAATATTCTAAGCCATTTTTTATTCAAGGAAACTCTTATTTACTTCTTTATTTGTCAGCCCTCTGATAAACGGGTAATGCATTTCAGGGCCATAGTTAATTTTTTCTGGATTGCATGTTGGACAAGCATGCTATTGAGCTAAGTTGGTAGTGTATTCTACTTGATCAAGAAATATCTAGCTTTTCAAATTATTGAAAAAATCATCTACCTTCCTTTATTTTGCATTCAATTAGCTGTATGTTTATTTAATTGACCACTCTAGAGAGGGCATAATTAGGCCATACTTAGAGTTTACTTCTACAGTTGAATCACTAGTCTTGTGATATAAAATACTTAGAGATGCATTAGCTCTCCTCAACTTATTCACTTTTTAATACAAAATTCTCTCAGCCTCTTACAGCTTATATTAATGCTAGTACTTAAGATATTAAACGATTTCATGGTCAGCATCATTACTAGTCTCAAGCAAATCTTTAGTTCTTGGAGGAAGACACAAAAGTACTGAGTCCATTTATTCTCTGCTCATACTCTCAATAATTAAAGAATAGTCCTCCAACCCATAATTTGTTATGCTTTACAGGGCGTATCAAGTACCCGCAATGTTTAAAGTAATCCTCTCCTTTTAGTTCAAATAACTGAGTGAAGCATTTGGAGATTTATGGAAGCCAAGTTAATTTAAGATATTGTCGTTGATCTATGATTTCGACATTTTTTTCTTTATATCCTCTTTTACCCTCGGATTAAAGTCAATACCCTTGAATGCAGTCATTCTATTGAACACATTTTCCATTTCTTCAATTTAATGATAAGTCAATGTATGACCTCTATTTATAATCTCCTAATAAGTTTCTTTTATTGCTCGTGTTGTAAGGTCAGATGTATTACCGAATTCATCATATATGTATACGATTTGCATAAGTGTATCGTTACTGACTTTTCCTATATCATCTATCTCTTCAATTATCTTAAGATTTACTCTTTCAATTAAGTTCTTAATATCTAATTGTATGCTGGTCGTAGCATCCTTGCTAATCTTACTTTTTTTACCAGCAACTCTATCTGTGACTCTTAATAGCTTGAGGGCGAAAGGAGTACCTGAGTATTTAATCTAGTCTTGTAGTTTGTAAAAGTTACTAAGAAACTCATCTTGAATAAATTTGTGAACGATGGGGATCGACTAGCATTTCTTATCTAAACTCTTGAATTTACTTCTTATTGCAAAGAATCTTTAGGGGTTAAAAGCTTTCATTTTATGGCAATTTAGTATTTTATAAAATTATAATTAGCCGTGAAATCTATTGATGATTTTTTGACTAAGGGGTTTTGGGGTTTTGGGGTTTTGGGGTTTTGGGG